TTTTACTAATTCTACAAATTTTATAATATTGTATCTATATAATGTAATTCTTCTCCATATTAAATATGTTGCACATTTATTCTATCATTTATTAACATATAAAACTGATGATAATAATTCATTATTAGTACACTGCGAAGCAGAACACTTCGTGTTTAATATATTATTTTGTGTTCGTAGATGTTGAAATATTTCTATTATAATTTCATTTGAAAGATTTATATCAGACCTTTTTAATGGTTTTCTTTTTACTGTCTGTGAGATAGGATACTCTGTATCTAACTTTGTATTCTGCTCTTTATCTTGTATTTTTCCAAAATCTAATAAACTATTTGTAGTACGAAGCTCATTTTTTTCGAAAATAGTCAAATTTGAAATTTCTGGATATGATGGTTTCCATGTAACAGATATACAATTTTTTACTACACAAACTCCTCTTTTCTCTAATTTTAGCTTGCCTATTTCTATTCCCATTTTAAGTTTTACTTTTCCAGCTACAATAAAACCATCTGTATGTATACGTTTTACTTGATCTCCTAGTGGTTTTACAATTTCTGATATTCTTTTTCGTGCTGATGCTAATAAGAATAGTTTTATTTGTAGGTGTGTACTATAATTTTGCTCATTTCTTTGCTCACATAAGATATCCCATAATGAAACTAATAATGCTTTACTTACTTTTCCAGCTATTTCTCCTTCTTTCTTAATATTATATAATATATTTTCCCATTTACCAAACATGTCTCTTCTACTAATATGAGTATTTTTTTCATATATAAATGCATTTGGTGATTTATTCATTAAATATACTTTCAATCCATTTTTTTTAGCACATTCTAAATCATAATGTGTATAAATTCTATATGGATTATATCGCAAATATCTTGTACATTGAAGGCTTTTCTTTGGAGAATTTCCTTTTATTATTGCTTTATAAATTCTATACGGAAATTTACCCTATTTTTCAGCAAAAGTTGAATTTATTGTATGAAATTTACTTTGTGCAAAAGGCCATGATGCCTCTTTCTTTAACATTTCATATATATACATTGAGTTTACGTCATATTGAATAGCTTCTCCTTTATATCTTTTAGCAAATACTAAAGCACCTGTTGATGCTAAATTTAATCAAGCATTTTCTTTTTTATTTACTTTTTCGCTTCTTTTTGATACTAAAGTAGTTTTTCTAAAAAGTTTTAAACTTGTTAATATATAATTTCCAGATTTTCGTATATCAACTTGTCTATTTGTTTTTTCTGCTATAGTTTCTGATTCTTTGATAATGCTTTTATAGGCTTCTATAGTTGTTTCTTTTAAATCCGATTTAATAAAATAGTATTTGTTAGATAAAGTACAGAAATCTTCTTTAACACCATACTATTTTCTTTTTCCATCATAAAACTCAAACCTATTTAGTATATTTTTATAAATTAAGATAGTTTTATTGTGAAACAATAAGGCTCTGCCACTATTTTGGTAGTTTACAATATTTTGCTTTAAACTAGATCCTATCCTAAGGTTGACTGCCGGCGCGCTTGCCTCTCTTGGCTGGGTTGGCTGGTGCATCAGTGGGTTTTCATCAAATGATATAAGATCGCCTTTCGGGGTCAGTGCTGGATTTTCTACTGAGGCTTGGTTTTGCATTTGAATCGGATTTTCAGCTGGTGGTATATTTTGTGGTGGAGTTGGGTTTTCAGCTAGATTTTGAGTAGGTGGATTTTCTGCTAGAGCTGGGACTGGGTTTTGCATTAAATGCAAAGCTGGTTGGCATTGTCCTTTATGAAGGTTTCTATTTAAATTCATGTGTTTATTAAGATCTCGAGTTTTACCAGTTCTTATTTCTCGATCACAACCTGGACATTTAAGTATCTTAGCCATAGTAATATGTTTTTTCGGTGTTTTTTATTAATATACCAGATCTTTTGTTTAAATAAAAAATAATTATTCATTTATTGAAATGTTTAGTGAATATATTGAAGGAGGTAAATATATCAAAAAGTCAGGGGATAAATATACATGCGAATATATACACAATTCTGGAGAAGTCTGCGAACGTGGGTGTTGACATCCTGAAGGGTGCCATGAACATTAGAGATCTAAAAAACGTGTTTTATGTGATGATTGTAAAAAACCTACAGCTTCTGCTTGTGGACGTTGCAAAAAACATTCTAAAGGATATTATGTTATACAATTTTATCCTCGACAACTTCAGATGCTTGAAGACCACCCATGACTCTTCGAGTCATCTTTCAGGCCTGCAAGACAATAAAATTTAACTATCTTTTTTACTATAGAAACCTAATTAATAACTAAAAGATTACTATGCTTTGCTTTACTCCGCAACTGTATCGCTCATACCTAAGGTGTATACTCCTTAGTATTAAGAAACTAATTATGAATTAAACAGATAACTAATGCTATACTACACTTCGCATTCGGAGTCACTATGCTCCTCCAATACAAAAAACTAAATAGAAATCAAATATGATAACTATGCTCCGCTTTACTCCGCAACTGCGTCGTATACCCTTAGGGGAGTGTACTCCTTAGTAATAGAAAGCTAAATAATAATTGAAATAGATATCAAAAAAGTACACCAAGCGTGAAGTATATATAAAAATATACTATTCATATAAGTTTTTTATATGTTATATATAAGTTATATAAGTTATCAAGAATACGATAAAAACTTGAAAAAAA